TAAGCAAAATATGCAATACCAGGATGAGCAATCGACAATGCATAACACAATAATCAAACAAGAATCAGTCCAACGGATCATGCATCGATTAACACACACTCTGTGTCCATCGATGCAACAACAGTGTGTCAATCGGCACTCAATCCCGGTGTCGATCGATACACGCTGTGTCGATCGACGCAACATCGCAAAATCCAGGAATCGAGCCTATCCTCTCATGGATCGATTCATGAACGCAATACATTGATCCCTGTACGAAATCTCATTAACACAAACACATAATCACATCAAAAACACTCAATCAATCGTATCCTATCAATTTCTTTACCCAAATAAGCCCATGGTCTCGCATTCACCTCATATCTGAAAGAAAAAATGATGAGAACTACGAAGAACGCGAAGAACACGGATCTCCAAATCCAAAATCCTCTCCTAAATCGCGAAGAATCAACACAAAAAACAATCCCAAGAGCCTCACAACCACACTAACAAGTTTTTAGGATCAAGAACACGAAGAAATCAACAATGATTCTTCATTTTCTCTCAAATCCTCTCTCAAACTCTCTGGAAACTCTCTGGAACTTTTTGGAAACTAAAACCGACCAAAATCACAGCCACAACTCTTTTATAGGGAAGCCCTAAGGTTTTCCCCTAAACCGAGCTGAACCGACGACTCAAATCGAACCAAACCGGTTCAATTCCAGCTTGTGTCGATCGACGCACACACTCTGTGTCGATCGATGCAACACCCAAACAAGTCGAAACACTGGTGTCGATCGACACACACCCTGCGTCGATCGATGCACTGCCCAACAATTCCATTTTTAGTTCACGGGCGTTGCAATCCTAGTCAGCATATTTAACGATAAAACTAACACCGTTATCTATTAGGTATATGTACGCCTAATTTTGGAAGTTTGGGTAGTAAAATTTGAATTTTAATGAGTTCGGGTATCTAAAAGCACATTCTCAAAGATTAGGTATAAATATTCGCATTTGCCCAAAGTTCAGGTACAAATAACTGTTTTAAAATCTTACATGTATTTTTGGATCCGAGATTCAAAACTAGATAATAAAATCTAGCATTTTACAAGACCACCAAAATCATCTAAGTCTGATGATCCTATCGTCCAACACAACCCAACTAAGGTTACCTGCAACAAGTAGAGGGGGGATGAGTAATCTAAATTACTCAGTGAGTTAAGATCTCCTATACGGTTTAATAAACAAACCCACCCATTTCCCCTATACGACACACACCCTGCGTCGATCGATGCACTGCCCAACAATTCCATTTTTAGTTCACGGGCGTTGCAATCCTAGTCAGCATATTTAACGATAAAACTAACACCGTTATCTATTAGGTATATGTACGCCTAATTTTGGAAGTTTGGGTAGTAAAATTTGAATTTTAATGAGTTCGGGTATCTAAAAGCACATTCTCAAAGATTAGGTATAAATATTCGCATTTGCCCAAAGTTCAGGTACAAATAACTGTTTTAAAATCTTACATGTATTTTTGGATCCGAGATTCAAAACTAGATAATAAAATCTAGCATTTTACAAGACCACCAAAATCATCTAAGTCTGATGATCCTATCGTCCAACACAACCCAACTAAGGTTACCTGCAACAAGTAGAGGGGGGATGAGTAATCTAAATTACTCAGTGAGTTAGGATCTCCTATACGGTTTAATAAACAAACCCACCCATTTCCCCAAAGAATCAACCAAGCAAGCATCATACAATCATACTGCTATAACGCAATATCCTACATGAATGCAATTCCAGATTCTATCTCGTTACAAAGTCCTTGCAGTCCCCTCGTCCATTCCCGGGCATCCCATGAAAACGCAACCACAAAGGCATACATCGTCTATACTCTATGCGGAAGCTACATAGGCTGAATGAGAAGTTTGTCAGGGTCATCGGTAGGTAGCTTGACTAATCATCATTAAACCATGAGATAGAGCTACGGTACAGCTACCGATCCATAGGAAGTAACTTCTACCCAATGGTTCGCTTGTTTGGTAGGATCCGATAGTCGACTTTGACTCTTTAGGGTAAGACCTTAAACCCTAAAAACAAGACAAGCGGCGAAGAATGGTAGTCGACTTTGGTACCTGCAAAGGAGAAAAATGGCAGTCGAAGATGGCACAACTGTTTGGGAGGAAACAACGGTGAAGAGAAGAGATAAGTTATGTTGAAGAAAAGAAATATATTCTTCGATCTAGGGTTAGTGATTCAAGTTTTGGTCGGAAATTCGTCAAAACTTTTTGACCCATTTGTGTTTAGTATTTTTGATCAGAAAAGTTCGATCTATTTTCGACCAAAACTTGAATTGGTCAAAATTTGATCAGAATATTTTTGACTAGTTATCAACCCAATATATTCGTTAAAAAAATTCCACCAATTTTCGACCAATTCAAAATTTCATCAGAAGTTGGTCAGAATTTTTTGACTAGTTATCAACCAAATACATTTGTCAAAAATTTTCAACCAATTTTCGATCAATTCAATTTTTTGTCAAAATTTGGTCAGCATTTCATCAGGAAAAGTTTTGACCAATTAAGATTGTTCAAAATTCTTGTTTTCTTGTAGTGCCAGGCCCGATCCATTTTACGTTTTAGCCCAAAATACTAGCCCAATACACAAACATCAGATATTTTAGTTGATATTGTAACAATTAAAAAATAAAAGTTAAAAAACGGATTTTAACACTAGAAAATCCTAATATGTTACCATGTTTGCCTCTTCTTACCGCACATCACTCTTTGTTCTTGCCGCTTCTTCCCTACTCAAAATCTCTAGGTTTTTTGATATCAGCGACCGATCTCCGGTAATACGGCTTGTCCGTTGGCACCGAGAGAAACCCAACCTTCCTCATTTTCCATCTTTCCTTCTTTTCTGGTTTTTGATTTTACAAACCCTAACCCAATCCGACTCAAACTGTCTCTTTGGATCTCAAATACTTTCTCCGTCTCTCTTTCAAACCCTCTCTCTGCATCTCTAACCATCGACATTCAAATCATAAACCTTTTCTCCTTCGCTGACGCTTTATCAGTCATCTACTTGTTCAAAAACAAGGTAAAGACTCTTATCTGTGAAATTTTGGTTAGTGTTTTTGGTTTCTTTCACTTGATAGACCGAGATCTTGTTCCATCGAGAGTATGATTTATAGGGTTTACTGTTCACTTACTCTCTTATCTTTGTAAATGTCTAATACAGGCTCGCAATCCTCTGGCGCTGGAAATGCACGCGGACGTGGCCTTGGAGATTGCCGTGGTGGTGTTGCTGGGATAGTGGGTGGAAGAGTAAACCCTGGGGTTGGTGGTAGAGGAAACCATGTGGGAGCTGGACTAGGAATTCAAGGCATGGGGAGAGCTCACCCTCTGGTTGCTGGACGAGGAAACCCTGTGGTTGCTGGGCAAGGAAACGAAGGTGTGGGGAGAGCTAACCATGTGCTTCCTGCTGTTAGAAACAGGTGATTGGTGGTGAAGGAAACATTGGGGCAGTGTGGAGAGGAAATTGTTGGAGGTGAAGAAAACGGTGGAGCTGGTGGTGTAGGAAACATTGGGGTAGTGGGGAGAGGAAATGGTCTTGTTGGAGGTGAAGAAAATGGTGTAGCTGGTGGTGTAGGAAACATTGGGGCAGTAGGGAGAGGAAACAGTTTTGTTAGTGGTCAAGTAAACGGTGTAGCTGCTGGTCAAGTTAACGGTGTAGCTGGTGGAAGAGGAAACAGTGTAGCTGCTTGTAATGCCCGCGAACCAAAATTGTGAATTTTTGGTAGTGCATCGATCGATGCATGGTCGGTGCATCGATCGACACACATTCGATTTAAACTGACATGTTCAGTTTTCGAGCGTCAGAATTGCGGTTCGGGTTACGGGAACCCTAGGGTTCGACTATAAAAGTTGAGCAGCCGCAATGAGGTCGGTTTTTCAGAGAAAAACAGTGAGTTTTAGAGAGATTTGTGAGGATTGAGTGTTGTGAAAGAATCATTGTTGATTTCCTTGAATTCTCGATCCTAAAAGCTTGTTCTAGTGATTTGTGAGGCTATAAGATCGTGTTTGATCCATGTTCTTCGGGGAGGAAGAAATGTTTTCAGATTCTAGGGAGTAGAGCCTCTAATTTGTCGTGTCC